TTAGAATTGGTTGGAGAGAACAGCAAATTGATTTTAAAGGAACGTCTTTCAACTGTCAATATCTGGACCGGTGTGCAAGCATGTAGTTGTAACAGAAAATAATAAATACAATGCTTTACCACTGTTAGCGTTTTGGCTTATTGTCTTTCCTCAATATCAATATTTTCTCATGAGGTATTCACAATGTTTTTGATGTTGATCGAGTCATAGTTTCAAACATTTGCACACAAAAATATTAATGTAGGTCCAATAAAAAATCTTTTTAACGGAAAGGAGAGTACATGATATGATTAAATGCCTTGTTTTTCATGAACCACGAAACTGCAAGATGTTAAGATTCTAATAAACGTTTTCAAAATAAAGATTAATTTCGGATTTCATCTATGTTGACACCATTAGCATTATACAATTTCTCACGGGTGTTATTGAATACGGTGCCATAAGGAATACTAAACATGTCAGCATGAAATTTGATGTAGAATTTTGCGCGAACACAATTTGCACTTACATGGTAATATCTATCGCCATTAATAGCTTTCATTTTTTACTCTTCTTATCAAAAAATTCATAAACTTCTCGGTATTGGAAGACAAAATCATTTGGAGGTTTCATGTAATTGCCGAATCTGTTTTTGCAGCGACGATAAATCTTAATTCGTTTTGTGCGCTTGTGATTTTTGTGTTTGTGCTTGGACTTTATGGTCGATATATTTACATGGCTCATCAATCTGTCCGGAGAAGGTGCATAAAACAACTACCGACTTACTATTAATATATTCGATGCTTCTCTTTGCCATCACAGAGCAGTGGTGGTGTAGCCACCAACAGCAAGAGCTGCATTGGACCGCATAAACATAAAAAAAAACCGAAAAAAAAAACACAAGAAATACCAACATGTCAACATTATCATAATCCAAACTCGAATTCAATAAAACTAAAAATATGAAATATACCATAACCAATGCTTTTTCATAGAATTAAAATTGAAAAGGATGTTTTTAACAAGTAGACAATTCAAATTGAAGTATTCGCAAGTGTATGTCCTTTTTCAATCTTTGGTCTCAAGATATCATTTGTATATGTAAAGATTGATTCTTAACGTGAACATTAAAATTCTAGATACAAAATATTGATAAGATATAAGAAAGTAAAATGGATTCTTACCCAGTTGTCTTCAGGATGATAAGAAAGGGAGCATTCCCTACAAATGTTACGCACATCATCTATGAAAGAGATAGTAAAACAGATACACATCATACTTAAATTTGTAATCGAAACTTTATTAAAGCGGTAACGGAGCATTTTCAGTAAATATTTGAGTTGTACATACAATGTAATTGATGTTGATGATAATGCTTTTTTATTTACTAACTTTAAATATTTCACACCTAGAAGAAATAAATGGTATAATTAAGATTCTTTTCTGTCCGTAATCATCACTTTTTAGAGTATGGATTCAAAGTCTAAATTTTGAATCACAGACGAAAAACGAAACACAAAACTGAAGCATTACATGTAAAAAGAATAAGAAAAATAACCGTTATTATAAAATTATTATAAGTTTGAAGGGAACAGTATTTTATACAAAATCAACATATGTACTCATCACTTTCTGAGAGAAGAATGGATCCAGTATACAAATATTCCTTGTCACATTTTCTTTGGTTGAATAAAAGAGGTGACAATGGGTTACCTCCTGCCATGGCCATCTCTGCAAACTGTAATTTCAACGTATGGTTTCTACATTTGGCTTTAAACTAACATTTGGAGTTAAACAACATAGAAATAAAAAATATAATTTGATCTTTTCAATAACGGGTAAAGACCCGTTTTCTGCATAGGTGTTTAAACGTTGTTTAAAGTGAGACACTAACTACGGAATTTGATTTTGACAATATAGCAATACTTTTGTCATTGCTCAAATTATGTACCAATCCAGCAAATTCAGATAAACTTCATAAATAATGTTTTTTTTTTTTTTGACGACAGCATATTAGTCTCACTGTGATTAAGTGAACAGATTTCGGACATTGCTTAATAATGAAAATGAATGAATAAATAAAAAAAAAATCCGGGCAGGCCGCCGTCAAGCTCACTAACCAGGAGAAGTACGTTATGGCCAAGTGCACTTTCCTGGAGAGTGAGATCTGCCACCGAGGAGAAGCCCAGTTGAAACCCCTTTCTCTCAGCCAACTCACAGACAGCCAGGCATCTTCAAGCCAGGAGCCACCTACTGTCTTCAGAGAGCCACACAGCAGACGCCCCCTCGACAGCTGCACTCCCCGTGGTGTCGAACTTGGAGGATCAAGTGGAGGATGACACCCTGCTCTGACAATTAGGGGAACATGCGGCAGCCGCCAGAGGTCGACCCACCCCCAAATCCAGTACCAGCTCTAGAAGACGCAGGCAGAGGAGCAGACTGGAGGGCCAGGACGACAGTGTATTGTTGGAGATAATGGATACAATGAAGACCAGCACAGAACTTCTCTCTCAGATGGTCCACTTGGACAAGGCATCGTCGGCCCGGAAACCCTTCATCATCTACACGAGCCAGACCCTGAGGGACCTGCTCGAGGTCAAGTACCAAATGATGAAGCAGAAGATTATAGAACTTCTCCTAAAACCCTCGAGGCCCAGTCCAGGTCTGCTTCTCCGCCCCAGGCTCCATGGTTAAGAACAACTGATAATGATGAAGACTAAGGGTGATAAGGTCTGTATACCACGGCAGCTCGACTCATACTGAGATCCAGATGATTTTCTCCCCATTTTTTAAAATACAAAATATCAGTTGTCCGCTAGGTGTCCATCTACATACTCTAGACATACTACAGACATCCTCAATATACGTGATACATCCCAGATACAAACTCTGTCCGTTTTGAATACTTTATATACGAGATGCAAACGGTTACATCCTTTTCTATTTCCATGCTACTAACGATGTATAGACGTTCCATTTACCTTGTCTTTCCCCTTCTTTCCCTTTTCAGATGCAGCGGATGTGAGTTACGAGGATGTCCAGAGGATGCAGAGAGGATACAGCGGACGTTTAACAGATGATAACGGACATAGAACGGTTGTGGCTCGTAGATGTTGCGGATTTACATCGTACACGGCGGAAAGTTCATCCATTCTAAAAGTTTTGTGCAGCTCAAAACTTTTTACGCGGATGAAATCACAATGGACGGAAGCTTGATGGATAGAGCATATGAAACACGTATGCAATAACTACACAACGGATGCAGAGCGTTTTTCAACGGATGGCAAGATTTTTTTTTTACGTTTTACATCATCTTTGCATGCGTAAGTGCAGTGTGGCCGGGCGTTTATTTGAAACACTGTAATGGCCATTTAATGATCATCACTTAAAAATACATTCTTAATATACTCTTCGAGCAAACATCTATGAATCTCGAAAAGTATCCAGATTTTTATATGCTAAGTATGTTGTATTCATAATGTTAATTCTAGTCAGACAAGACAAGAAACTAGATTTAAAACCCCGTTGATAAAGTTTGTTGATACCGTTGTGACTACTGAGGTTCTCATTTTATATCTGACAGTTCATCAATAACATCATTACGTCGTTATCATTATTAATGGAACGTACCAATGTTTTGGTTTTTTTCTTGTTATTATATCTCAAGAACAGAGTCAAACTGTTTCATTGCCGATTACCAAACGTGCATTGAAATTCGTGATCTATACACTGTATCAACACTCTATGGAACTACCAGGCAAACCAAACTGAACACTTTATCACAACATCAAATCTCTGCCCATTGCTGCAAAAACATACCCTTCACTTACATCATATAATCATAATCGCTACACACACTTTGAATAAAACAGTTGCTATTCAATACTATATTCTTTATCTATACTGTCGATACATCAAATAAACATTGCCTATGTATTCATTTTTTTTGTTAAACCCCCCCCACCTCACGACTTAATTACATCTCCGATATATCCTTGATTATTATTTCTCCCCGTCTAATGGACATCTCCTATATATCCTTAGTTATTGTTCCTATCCGTCTAATGGACATCCCCTATATATCCTTAGTTATTGTTCCTATCCGTCTAATAGACATCCCCTATATATCCTTAGTTATTGTTCACATCTGTCTAATGGACATCCCCTATATATCCTTAGTTATTGTTGCTATCTGTCTAATGGACATCCCCTATATATCCTTAGTTATTGTTCCTATCCGTCTAATGGACATCCCCTATATATCCTTAGTTATTGTTCCTATCCGTCTAATGGACATCCCCTATATATCCTTAGTTATTGTTCACATCCGTCTAATGGACATCCTCTATATATTCTTAGTTATTGTTCCTATCTGTCTAATGGACATCCTCTATATATTCTTAGTTATTGTTCCTATCTGTCTAATGGACATCCCCTATATATACTTAGTTATTGTTCCTATCTGTCTAATGGACATCCCCTATATATCCTTAGTTATTGTTCCCATCTGTCTAATGGACATCACCTATATATCCTTAGTTATTGTTACTATCTGTCTAATGGACATCCCCTATATATACTTAGTTATTGTTCCTCTCCGTCTAATGGACATCCCCTATGTATCCTTAGTTATTGTTCCCATCTGTCTAATGGACATCCCCTATATATCCTTAGTTATTGTTCCTATCCGCCTAATGGACATCCCCTATATATCCTTAGTTATTGTTCCTATCCGCCTAATGGACATCCCCTATACATTCTTAGCTATTTCCTTAGTTTTTGTTTTTAATCGTCTAATGGACATACCTTATTTATCAATTGCTATTTTTTCTATCCGTTCCATTGGCATCTCCTACACTGATATATCCAAAGTTTTCCTGCTGTAAAAAGTGACTTGCGTAAGTCTAGATTAAGGGTAATACATTGCATCAGGCCTTTATACGCGATAAAGTGTTGTCGGTACCTACGCGTTTGTATCTAGTAGTTTGTCCATTAGACGTATTAGAAGTTTGGCCTTTAACGCGAACGCAACCCAAGAACTGTACTCTGAGTAGTATGTATTTTTGCATATTTTCCACGTGTTTAACAGGCTGGTAGGTACCAGTGCTAGTATTTATACCGAAGTGTTCAATTTGTCTAATATTCTTATGTCTAGATAATGTAAATATCAATAACATATTAAGAACACAGACGTGAAATAGTAAATACGTGGATCGGTTATATGTTCCTGTTCAGTAATGGCAGGGACGTATAAATACAGTATTATACGTCCCTGGTATTTTTAAAATGTCTTGGTTATTAAGTATATACATGATGTTAGGTGTTATTCATAATTAAGCTGCTGACTTAGAGGAAAATATGAAGCGTACGACTCGTTTGACGGTCTTTAAATAGATTGGTTTCAGGTGATTGTGCAATACCTGGCTGTATATACGGTAGTGATTAACGACCTCTAAACACTAGTCCTTTACGTGTTAATAGGTACAGCCGATCGACTCTCTCTCTGTGGGAATACCAAACAGGTGGAAATTATCAGCTGTCACCATGAGCACCAAACAACGACAGTAAGTTAACTTGTCGATTGATCTGAACTTTTAACATAGACTATTATAGAAAATTTGATTGATAAATTATATACATTGAAACAATAATTACAATTTATAAAGAAGTTAGATTAAAAGATTTGATTTTGAGTTCGCTTTTCATGGATCATCTTGTTTGAATGACACATGATTATAACATTTTAATTTAATTCTTTATTTGTTTGAAGAGGATTACAAACAGCCCTGGGGCTACTAGTTGCTCTCCTCGACATGAAACACATTACATAGTACAATACAAGAAAACATATTCGAAACTGACAAAACTTACTTACATTTACTCACTCCTTTCATTCATTAAATTGAAACTCGCACACTCATCCACGCACACAGCACACACCTGCTCGAACAACAAACAGAGAGAGAGGGAGAGAGAGATAGAGAGAGAGAGAGAGAGAGAGAGATGATTAGAATCGGTTTGAATTGATTATGAAATCGAAAACTTGATCAAAAATAACTTTGTTTGATTGACAGTCTAAAGTTTCACATCCATGTAGTAATATATTTACTAGAACATCAGGTATTAGCTCAACAACAAGAATCGGATTGACATTTGGAGCAATTTCATTACATACCAGACGCAACATCTTAATACGGGATCCGTTATATATAGGGCAATATAAAAAGAAATGTTTCTCGTCTTCAGGAGAATGTATACACAAGTCACAAAATTTATTTACAGTTAAATTATAAGAAAATCTATGTTTGTTAAGGGCACTAATCCCATTTGTATTCTACAATGATTCACTTTGCACTTTCCATGTCCATATGTATACAGAGATTTAGACAGAGGAGTCGTACTATTACACAAAGATTTTGAGAAAGATGCTAATGTAGAACTACAGCGAAAATGTACAGGCAGATTATTCCAGTCTCTTATTGACTTGGGAAAGAAAGATTGGTGGAAGAAGGATTTCCTAGATGTTATGGGAAGAATAGTTCAGAATTTCGAAAGCCATAATTTTGAGTGCGATGGTTAAGTAGGGGACATACAGATTTAAGATATGAAGGACAAAGATCATGCTTAATTTTATACAACATTTTTAGTCTGCAATTTCTTCTTCGGTCACTAAGAGATTCCCATCCTAATTCATTTAACAGTTTAGTATATTTAGTTACCTTGTAACCACCAGTGCATATCAAAGCTGCTCTTCTCTGTACGCTTTCAATGAGGTCGGATTCAAATTGACTACAATTATCAAATAATACATTACCATATTCTAAGATAGATCTAACCATTGATTTATAGAGATTTTCAAGACAGGCTCGTGGGATTATATACGATAGTGACTGAAGTATGTTTAAAATTTTATTAGCTTTACCGACAATTTCTGACACATGAGAATGCCAGCTCAGATTCCCAGACAATAAAACACCGAGATGTTTATGTGTATTAACATGTTTTATAACAACATTATCAAGAATTAAGTTAGGTATAACCAATGCTCGTTTTTTAGTAAAAAGAACAAGTTCGGTCTTCAAAGCATTAAAAGAAACTAGCCATCGTTTCGCCCACTGAGATAATATAGATAAATCATTGTTCAGTCTTTCTACAGAGGCCTGACCAGATATTGCCGAAGAAAGTGACGTATCGTCAGCGAATAAGTTGATATCCGACGAAATACCCTCGCTGATGTCGTTAACGTAAACTAAGAATAATAGAGGCCCTAATATAGATCCTTGAGGAACGCCAGAGTTAATCGAACGTTTTTCAGAAGCTTGGCCATTCAAGGCAACAAATTGATTTCGTTCAGATAAGTAACTTTCAAGCCAACAAAGTAGATTACCTTTGATTCCAACATTTTCTAGTTTATAAAGGAGACCGGTGTGCCACACTTTATCAAAAGCCTTGGAAACGTCTAAAAAAACTGTACATACATCTTTACCATCATCTATACATTGATATATATTATGAATTATTTTCAACAATTGATTTACAGTAGAATCATTTTCCTTAAACCCAGAATTCTCCTTAATAAGAATGTCATTTTCTGTAAGGAATTTATACATTCTCTTGTATACAATTTTTTCAAGACATTTAGAAACAGTAGAAAGGAGAGAAATGGGTCGATAGTTACTGACAATACTGAACATTTTCGTCAGGTTGGAAAGTAAGGATTATGTAAAGATTCTTTATACACAACCAGGAATTTTAATATGTGACGTTTCGGTGACCAGTACGATCTGTACGCTGTCACCTTCCTCAGACAAATGACCAGTAAAGCATGTACACAAAGGTGTGATATGTGTACGAGTTGTCGTGGAATAGCGTCGATTTCGGACATGCTGACAAGTGCCGAAATGACACTTAGCGAATAGTAAAACCATTCGGCTACGCTTATTTTATTACTTGGTCATAGATGTGCGAGAGTCTATGAGCCCCCTCATCTCGGTTCAGAACTGCCCCGCTGCGGCGTATCCAGATGGCTTCTTTGATCTGTCGCTTCAGAAGATGGTTCTCCCTATCGAGCACCTTTGAGTTTTCCCAGTCAATCACATGGTTTTCCTGCATGGCATGGTTAGTGATTGCCGATTTGTTTATCTGGGAATCCGACTGCTTCCTCTCTGATCGGGTGAACTTCTTTTCCTCTTGTCTTCCGGTGTCTTTCTGGTGCTCCCCAAGGCGAACCCCGAATCGCCTTCCAGTTTCTCCAATATATGATGCGTCACAGTTTTTGCACCCGATCTTGTATATGCATTCTGCGACATTCTCTTTGGTTATCTTATCCTTAGGGTGGACTAGGATATTTCGAAGCGTCTTGTGGGGCTTCATGGCTGTTGCTATGCCATAGTTGCGGTATATCCTTTGGATGGTTTCAGATATACCCTTTATATATGGGATGACCACCTGGATTTTTGTTTTGCACATCTATGACCAAGTAATAAAATAAGCGTAGCCGAATGGTTTTACTATTCGCTAACAGTCATTTTGGCACTTGTCAGCATGCCCGAAATCGACGCTATTCCATGACAACTCGTACACATATCACACCTTTGTGTACATGCTTTACTGGTCATTTGTCTGAGGAAGGTGACAGCGTACGGATCGTACTGGTCACCGAAACGTCACATATTAAAATTCCTGGTTGTGTATAAAGAATCTTTACATAATAGTTACTGACAATATTTTTATTACCTTTTTTGTGAATAGGACAAACTTGAGCTGTTTTCCACGTAGATGGAAAAATACCTGAGCTGAGAGAGAGATTAAAAATATGGGACCAAATGAAGCATAAAGATTGACAGCAGTTTTTAAGGATAAAATTAGATATACCGTCGGGACCTGATGCCTTGCTAGTGTTCAACGCCTTGAATATATTACGTACTTCTTCTGGATTTGTGTATATATCAGAAAGTGTAGGTCTACTATCATCCACGGTAATAGTAGGTAATTCTGGTTTCTCAACACACTCAGGGATAGTACACTGCTCAGAGAAAAAATTATTGAAATTGTTGGCCTTATCCAGGTCATCATGTATGAGATGGTTATTATCAACGAGTGGGGGAATAAGTTGTACATTGTTTTTGCCTAACAAAGATTTAGAAATAGCCCAAAATTGTTTTGGATTTGTATTTTTATGACTTAGTTTTCTAATTGTAGGATCTTGGTAGCGTTTTAAGGCATCACGCTTGACCCTATTTGCTTCTCGACGTGCTACTTGGAACCTTAAGTTATCAAAATCATTTTTGGTACGCTGAAATAGCTTGTAGTACCTGTCCCTTTTCCTAAAAGCTCTGCGACTTCATTTGTAATCCACGGTTTGTCACGGGGATGAATAGTAACAACTTTATTCACTATAAACAATTTACAGGTATCTAAAATAAAAGTATTTACAGTAGTAATTATATCACTTAGAGAATCAAAAACGTTAACAAATATGTCAATATGAGCAGTTGAGAAAGCATTATTCAAACCTTTGATATCTGCTGTTTTAAAATCCCAAACAGTTCTCTTATATGACTTCTGTTTTGGTATTTTGGTGATTATAACATAATTTGTGTGTGATATTACAAAGAGAAAGTAGGAGATGCATTTTTTTACCTATCTAGGAAAATAAAATTGCACGAGAACATGAATAAAGCCTATAAGAAATATTGACGCTATTGGTATATATACACAATCGTTGCATTTTCAGTTTATTTGTGGTTCAAAGAAAATGTTATGTACACGGCGTATATCATTATTAAATTATATGTGCATACATAGTTTAACTTCGATCGAGATCAACAAAGAAAATTATAGATTCTCATTGTATGTAAAAGCCTTTAGAACTCTTGAGGGCAAAACAAAACATATGTGTTACATAGACACAACACAAACCTGAAATAATCCCTGCACTTAATAGGATTTTCTCCTACCCTATCTCAAAACAAAACAAATGTGTTATATAGACACAACAAAATCCTGAAATAGTCCCTGTATTAAACAGGGTTTATTCCTAACATATCTCGAAACAAAACATGTGTTATATAGACCCAACACAAACCTGGAGTAATGTATTTTCTATTTAGATAGAATTACAAACTGCACCGCAATAGTTCTATGTCGCACCATTGAAATAGCAACCAGACAAAAATTTAAAAAAACAACTGACGTCAGACTCCAGCTCACATCAGACCCCAGCTGACGTCGGACTCCAGCTCATATCAGACCCCAGCTGACGTCAGACTCAAGCTCACATCAGACCACAGCTGACCTCAGACTCCAGCTCACATCAGACTCCAGCTGACGTCTGACTCAAGCTCACATCAGACCACAGCTGACGTCAGATTCGAGCTCGCATCAGACCCCAGATGATGTCAGACTCCAGCTGATGACAGATTCGAGCTCACATCAGACTCCAGCTGACCTCAGACTCCAGCTGACCTCAGACTCCAGCTCACATCTGACTCCAGCTGATGTTAGATTCAAGCTCACATCAGACCCAGCTGACATCAGACTCCAGCTCACATCAGACCCAGCTGACGACAGATTCGAGCTCACGTCAAATTTGAGCTGACTTCAGACTCAAGCTAAAGCAACACTAGGGCGCAATGCAGATTTAGACTCAAGTCAGATTCAGTTAGACTTAGTCTCATTCCAGATTCGACCTCACAGTAGACTAGGGCTTACATCATATTCGAGCTGGTAACAGACTCAAGTTCACATCAGATGCCAGCTGACGTCAAATTTGAGTTCGCGTCAGATTCGAGCTCACATAAAGCTCTGGCTAACATCGGACTTAAGCTCATGTTAGACTCTTGCTCAATTCAGACTCGAGCTGATATCAGACTTGGATTGACGTCAGACTTGTTTTCTCTCCCTAACCCATTACCTTTAACACTCCTTTCCATCATGAGTTACCTTTTGGTCCTTTAGACTAAGTACGTCCTAGGCACATGGAATGAAGTCTTTTTTATCTTTCTTGTAAAGAACGCCGAGCTATATATTTCCTTCAAATTGTGAACTAAAAATGTAGGGAATTTGGCAAGTTGCCATTTTCTTGGTGTAATCAAATTATCGCTTTGGTTCATTTCAATGAGAAATGATAGGAAACCTAAATGTTTAGGTCCACAGTTTTTTTTATTATAATTGATCACAACTGGCAGATGGAAAACCTGAGATATCACCAAACATTCAATGTTTAAAGACTTTCAAAACATCACGGAACACCTTCCTTTGTTTCTGAGGAAATAAACTGAATAAATTTGAAGTTTTAACCGGTTTCCTGTCTATTTCAGAAGGGAATCTGGAGATGTGGAGGATACCGAATTTGCAACAGCAGAATCAGGCTTCTCCTTGACTTATCCTCAGCAATGTTCAGCTCTCCGGAAAAATGGACATGTTGTGATAAAGGAACATCCATGTAAAATAGTGGAAATGTCTACTTCTAAAACTGGGAAACATGGACATGCAAAGGTGAGTATACTGGTCACTTCTAAAACTGGGAAACATGGACATGCAAAGGTGATTATACTGGTCACTTATAAAATCAGAAAATTTGGGCACGCCAAGGTAAGTATACAGGTCACTTTTAAAACTGGAAAACATGGACATGCCAAGGTGACTGTATTGGTCACATCTAAAACAGGGAAACGTGGACTATATTTAATTTTTTTTGTGTCAATTTTTATGGAAGTTGGATATGGACATAATTTGATGAGTTAAATAAAAGTTTTATTCAAATATTTATTAAGTAAGAAATGACGATGTATTGATTTGTGAGTTTTGATAATCTGAATTCTAACATTCAGAAATGACATGTTATATCAATGATCACCATGGATAGAAAAACCTAACAAAAAGCTAAAATGGGAGTTAAGTCTTAGGCATAGGCATCCGTATCTGTTAAAGTCGTAGCAACAGGTGGTCGGTCAATTGCCCCTAATCTTCATGTCTGTCTAAATACCTGTACGTGTATTATCAGGTATAGTGACCATTGTTGTTAAGGATCGCTACCAACAGCTGGCTACAGATGTAAACATTCGAAGCAAAAAACACAAAAGTGCGATTGGCTGTCCCCGGTAGCAATCTTCAAATTTCCATGTTTGTCTGTAAAAGCTGTCATAATTAAGTAGGATGTAAAACATTATTGAGGAGACGAAACAATCTGTGTGTTATGAATTAAAGGGACGAAAACAAGAACGTATGTACATTATTCTGGTTCTAATATCAAATTTGTCTGATTGTACATTATTTTACGTACACAGGTACACTTGGTTGGAATCGACATCTTCACACAGAAGAAATACGAGGATATCTGCCCATCTACTCACAATATGAGTGTCCCTGTTGTGACGCGCTGTGATCGACAGGTAAGTTGTGTGTCCGAGTAGTGTGATTATGTCCCAATAGTGAGATCTCCACGCGGGTTGTATGTGCCATCAGTGAGGCTTAAAGTGAGTGATATTTCTCATCTTTGAGGCTTAAGGTGAGTTGTATGTCCCCGCAGTGAAGCTTAAGGTGAGTTGTATGTCTCCTCAGTGAGGCTTAAGGTGAGTTGTATGTCCCATCAGTGAGGCTTAAGGTGAGTTGTATGTCCCATCAGTGAGGCTTAAAGTGAGTGGTATTTCCCATCTGTGAGGCTTAAGGTGAGTTGTATGTACCATCAGTGAGGCTTAAAGTGAGTGGTATTTCTCATCTGTGAGGCTTAAGGTGAGTTGTATGTCCCCTCAGTGAGGCTTAAAGTGAGTGGTATTTCCCATCTGTGAGGCTTAAGGTGAGTTGTATGTCCCCTCAGTGAAGCTTAAGGTGAGTTGTATTTCTCATCTGTGTGGCTTAAGGTGAGTTGTATGTCCTGTCAGTGAGGCTTATGGTGAGTTGTATGTCCCAGCAGTGAGATTACATGTGTGCTGGAGTTCCCAGTAATGAATTGCATTATCCCTGTGTGGCTTACAGGTGAGTTACAGTTGTAGAGGCACGGGTGAGTTGTATGTCCCAGCAGTGAGATTACATGTGTGCTGGAGTTCCCAGTAATGAATTGCATTATCCCAGTAAGTACAAAGACCTACAGTTTAGAGGCACGGGTGAGTTGTATGTCCCAGCAGTGAGATTACATGTGTGCTGGAGTTCCCAGTAATGAATTGCATTATCCCAGTAAGTACAGAGACCTACAGTTTAGAGGCACGGGTGAGTTGTATGTCCCAGCAGTGAGATTACATGTGTGCTGGAGTTCCCAGTAATGAATTGCATTATCCCAGTACAGAGACCTACAGTTTAGAGGCACGGGTGAGTTGTATGTCCCAGCAGTGAGATTACATGTGTGCTGGAGTTCCCAGTAATGAATTGCATTATCCCAGTACAGAGACCTACAGTTTAGAGGCACGGGTGAGTTGTATGTCCCAGCAGTGAGATTACATGTGTGCTGGAGTTCCCAGTAATGAATTGCATTATCCCAGTACAGAGACCTACAGTTTAGAGGCACGGGTGAGTTGTATGTCCCAGCAGTGAGATTACATGTGTGCTGGAGTTCCCAGTAATGAATTGCATTATCCCAGTACAGAGACCTACAGTTTAGATGCTCAGGTGAGTTGTATGTCCCAGCAGTGAGATTACATGTGTGCTGGAGTTCCCAGTAATGAATTGCATTATCCCAGTACAGAGACCTACAGTTTAGATGCTCAGGTGAGTTGTATGTCCTAAAATGAGATGTACACTTAAATATAAACTTCATTTATTTTACAACAATTGCGAAACAAGTTATTTCAACTGATACTTATCACTCTTGTTGGCCCGAATGTAAGCACGCGAGGGATCTTATTGTGGGAGGAAACCAGAGTACCCGGGGAAAACCCTCGTGGTCAGGCATTTGACCCCTTACCTTTTCACGTCCTTTCGGGGAATCGAACCCTGGACGGCTAGGTGAAAGGCGAGTGTATGTCCTAGTGTGGAGGCCTATATGTGAGTTTTATGTTCCCGTGGTGAGATGCACAGGCGACTTGTATGTCGCATTGTGGAGACCCACAGGTGTGTTGTATTTCGCAGTGTGGATTCCCACAGGTGTGTTGTATGTCGCAGTGCGGAGACCCACAGGTGAGTCGTATGTCGCAGTGCGGAGACCCACAGGTGAGTCGTATGTCGCAGTGCGGATTCCCTCAGATGTGTTGTATGTCGCAGTGCGGAGACCCACAGGTGTGTTGTATGTCGCAGTGCGATTCCCACAGATGTGTTGTATGTCGCAGTGCGGAGACCCACAGGTGTGTTGTATGTCGCAGTGCGGATTCCCACAGGTGTGTTGTATGTCGCATTGCGGAAACCCACAGGTGTGTTGTAAGTAGCAGTGCAGAGACCTACATGTGTGTTGTATGTCGCAGTGCGGAGACCCACAGGTGTGTTGTATGTCGCAGTGCAGAATCCCACTGGTGTGTTTTAAATTGTTTGTTATATCTGTTGTATAAGTGAGAACAATGGTTTTTATTACGTTTGACAGGTTGTCGATATAAGCACGGATGATGGATACATGTCACTGCTTGATGGTGCTGGTGAATTATCACAGGTTAGAACACCACAAGGAGATTTGGGAAAGGACATCAAGGAGAAGTTTGAAAAGGGTGACGACCTGACTGTGAGTACTGCTATACCTGCGTTAACAAACGACGAGATGTAATAATCAATAGCTAGGGATTTAGTCTAAATAAAGGGCTAACAGGAATAAACGAATCAAGATTTAAAGTCTTGAAATCTACGAAGTTTATCTTTGCCTTTGATTAGCTACGTTGGTTGTTGTGTTTCTTGATTGCCTCAGAAAGGAGGGTACCACTGTGAACATTTTACGGGCTATCTATGGTTGACCTTGCAGCCAGGGTCGAAGGTTAATGTCGGAAACGACAGAAACATATGTAGACTGTTTTGTATGCCATTGATCAGCGTTAACAATAACATTCGTGTTTTCAGAGAGGAAATGTGTCAATATTGTCATCAGTTATCAGTATATGAACGTGTATCTGAAGTTGGAAAGTGAAAGTACAATATATAAATTTGATGGTTGGAGACTGTTTAATCACCATTATTCCTCTGAGATATATAACCCGTAATGTTTATAGTCACATAAATCAATGAACTTACATGATCATTTTCCAGATGAACGTAGTTTTTTAAATACTGATCCAAATAACAAAACAGAACGGTAATAAAATACTGTTTTATTTGACAAAAATATGTTCTCGAATCTTGAAATGAAGTTAGCCATTACAGGGACTCAGGTAGAGGTTGAATTCTATGAAGATAAGATTTGCCTCTGATTGGTTCAGAAATCTATGACGGATGTCTTCACCTGTATTTGACCCTTTTCTTGGTTTAAAGTAGGATGATGGTAACTGGACCTGCTCTGGACAAAACGTCCATGGTCTTGAGAAGTTATTTTAGTTCTGAAATGAAGCCACAAGATATATTGTAACCGATGTTTATGCAATTGTGCTTATTATAATGATAACATGTATTGCGCATTAACGCAGCAGGTGCAAAATATTTGAATCGAAATTGTTGCAGTAATAAACCAGGTTTTGAATTTTTAAATAACTCCGAATAAATATAATAAAGACGAAGAGTTGATTCATACTGTAGAATATTGTGCAATAGACAGACAGGCAAAACTTTTCTATACAAAAGTGTGATCAGAGGCAAATAGTGAATCAATCTGCATCATATCACCACTTCATCAGATAGTGCTTAGGGCAGTTACAACATAGTAGGTGGCTGAGGATGGCTTAAAACTGCTGAAAAAAGGGTCAAATACCAAAATGGGAGTAACACTAACTTGAAAATTTAATAGAAAATGTTATAAAGTTTAATTATAATTTATTTCTAAAGAAACCAATGTACATAATTTAAATATTTAAAAGGTGACATGTTGGCTACGTCTAGCCTCAGGGATGAAAATATTCCTTCACCAATGTCTACCACCTGCAATATGGAAGATTGTCTCAAATATACTTGAGTAAACTGCAGCTTTTAATAAGATCTTGGAATAAGATACAGTATAGCTTAGAACTATTAATTGTTATGGTTTAATATACAAGAAGAGCCACTAGAAATGATGAATATCACTGATTTTTTATTGTTATTCCAAAAAATAATCAAATTCACGTGATAAACATACAGAAACTACAGCCACAATGGACTTGTATAGAAAATCTTAATTATCTGCATTTGACTAACATTGATCTATAAATGAATTTTTATTATCCATAGGTCACGCTGATCAATGCTATGGGCGAGGTGGCAGTACAAAGCGTAAAGAGTACCAATAACCCTTAGTAAGGCACACATTTCCTTGAGAAGTCTACAAGTACAGTGGACATGGATATCTTAAACATCTGTCGCACGTGTCGGTGGTAAAGAATCACAGGCCTACAAGAGGACAGCATTCCCACACACCAACAGCACTGGGTCTGATCCCAAGCTGAATCGGATGTCGGACTTACTATATCAGTCACGTGACTGTATTTAACTACAAGCCAGCAAATGATATCGTAAAGATACCATCTTTACAAAGAATATGATACCGTTCTGAGTTAGTGAACAAATTGAAAAAATATCAATTGTTATCAAGATGTCCAGTTATCTTGTATTTCTCTTAACGTCATCGTATGGAAATGTGAAAATATTTTTTATATACTACTTATTCTTTCTCTGTAATAAACTTTACAAAATCATTTACATTTCTAAAAATTATTTGTTCTTTTGTTGATTTGGACAAATATTTGTCTAAAGACATTTGTCTAAATACCCATGGAATTTACAAAAGGATGAAAACCAATAACCCTATACATAACTTTCAAGCAGAGGCCAGTTTAACAGTTCTTCTTATTATTGTTTTACTGGAAACAGCTGGCACCACTTAGGCGTCGTCGGTAACACCTACAGCAAGAACAAAACATTAAATTGATATTTTCATATGTTTTATGTAAAGAAATACATTGTATTACATTTCATCTGGATGTCATACTTCTCTCTTCATATAACCTGTGCATCTCATTTATGTTAGATCACAATAAAGGGTTTCCCGTAATGCCAGATAAGACAAGCATTGGATTAGCCTTACCTATTGAATAGTATACATCTTCAGTATAACAAAATCAACAGCAGTGTTTTACATATATAGCTATAGTATAAAAAATCTATATCAATCAATCTCGATGACATAACCCTGACATTTACGCTTACTTATCTTAGATCATACAGATTATCGACAGTATACAGTTTACAGAAGTTAATTAAAAGTTCAACATCTCATAAAGTTTAACTTCATGCACAGAAATTACCATTAAATAAGGACACGGTCAACATGCGTTCACAAGGATCCCTAAAAGTCTATAATACTCCACCTACCGTAACGGACAAAGCACGCCAAATTTATCAAAGCGATTCAGAAAGGGAATAAGGAGAACACAATGTGAACGAATGTCGATTATTACGTTTTGTAAAATGTGAAATTAAATTTCTGGCTTCACCTCCGTTTAACGAATATTATTTTATCATTTTTACATTATACATAGCACTGTGTATCAAGGGATAGGTAACGTATATTTAACTTACGCTAAACAGAACCGCTAAACCAGAGCCCAATAGCTTCAACATTTCACGTTATTTTAGCTTTTTCGCGACAATATTGCTGCATTTATTAAAACATGAATACCCCTCGATAAATTGGTTTTATCCGATGCATTGAATTTTAAGTAAAACAACACCTTGTATGCTAATGATTCTTCACCCACACAGACTTCATGAAACCCATATAAGAAATGCAGGGAGGACGGTGGGCTTGTCGTTGCCTAAAAAAGGCTTGTAAACGTCACTAGAACCAAATATAACTAAATGTGAAACAATGTTTTTCCTGGTCTTCGCTTGATCAGGAATTGTTTTTTAAAATAAAAGCAATAAATAAGGACTAGAAAGGTAAGCTTTTAAGTCGTTGATGACTGAAACATCGGGAAATGCAGATTTCACTTTCTATTGAAGTCTTTGTCATCACAACCCAGTGGAATGGTATAATGAATTGTCTGCCATTATATATATGACTAGCCAGTAATTATTGATTAATTCCAGGATTAGCTTTTGTAACAATTATACCAAATTCACAGAAAATATAAAACACACCCTGAAGGCGTCGTCTTACATTGTAAAACAGGATAGCTCTCTTATGTCATTTAACGTACACTTACAGAGAAAAACATACTGAAGGAGTTATACAATAATAGGGTTAGCTCTCTTATGTCATTTAACGTACACTTACAGAGAAAAACATACTGAAGGAGTTATACAATGATAGGGTTAGCTCTCTTATGTCATTTAACGTACATTTATAGAAAAATAAGTAAAGAAATTATATCGTTAAATCATCAAGCCAAAACAAGCGTCTGAATGTGTCTGTCTCTCTGTCTGTCACACTCACACTCTCCCTCGCTTTGTATGAATTTATTTCTTATATACAACACCTTCATTTGGTTTATACATGGCTGAATAAAGGCAGGACATACAAACCTTTTAAAGTCCTTCAATTACAGTGGTTTATTACAATAATGGTGTCTTGTCTTTGCGCAAAAAAAAAAAAAAAGAAAAAAATTATGAAAAATGAAAACATTTTTGACATTGCTCATTAGAAGCTGTATACACGCACTAGAATTGGAGATCGAATACAAGGCAGTTTCTTTTTCTTCAACGAAATCCACCGATACATCTTTCCATTAAGCTTTATGATTTCAATTTTCTTTACTGTACATTTTCCATTTCTGAATAGAAACATTCCTGCGTCCTCAATCTATGGTGTTTCCATGTCGACAGCTGACAACTAACAGGTAAAGACTCGTCATCATAATGATCTCATTGCAAAATACTTTATTTTATTTGCAAGATTAATTTGGATGTGTTTGATGCTTGTTAGTTTGCCTTTTAGTGCCATGGTTGTACACCTTGTTCTCATTTGAGAACGTGACATTACTTACGTGGATAAACCAAGGTTTACATGGCGGATGTCGTCGATGGAGCAGAAGATGCTTTATCTTACAGAAGATCTCCCTATACCTTTTTAAAAGTTTTTCATATTATTCTTTTTTTTTCATATTATCGAATTTCATTTTTAATTAAGATTGTGTTGGTATGTCGATATTTTCTTGGCTATTCTTGTTGAAATTTGTTGCCTGTACAATACATATCCGACCACTTAGAAACACTCTGAGATACAGCTGTTTACCTGTGTTAAACAGCTAGAAAATAATGCTGGTTTTCAGTCTAGGTCAGTACCAGGAATCGGAGGAGGAAGTTAATTACCTGTTGAATTCCGACACAATAAGGCCACTCATCAAAATAAAAACCGTTATTAAAATCAAATAAGGACTAGTAAAAACAACATATTAGTTTTCCTACTGTTCTAATTTTCATTCGTAAGTGTAATGTAGAAATTGTCGTTTTGACAAGAAGGAAAGGGAACGATAAAAATATGTCTATATGTTTGTCTTAAAGTTTGTTTTTCCTGCTTGTATGAACTATCTAGCCTCTCCCCCTATATTTAGCGAAAGTTTTGGTGTTGCTTTGTCATGTAATGAATATGAATATTTCATTTTTTTTAAAATATAGAAAATAGTGCTGACAATGCTAAATATGTCTATAGTGATTGATCTAGGTCAGTACCAGGAATCGGTGAAGGAAGCAGATTACCTGCTGAATTCCGACGCAGTAAAGCAAGTTCCAGGAATCAGGAGGAAGCGCTGAACCTGGTTAAATCCGACGCAGTAAGGTAAGGTTTCTAATCAAGATAAAAACCGTTATTAAAATCATATATAAATAGATAAAATAATCTAATTAGTATCCGTTATGTCCTACTGGATTTTATTTCCATTCCTAAGTGTAATACAGAAATTGTTGTTTATGTCATAGAGAGCGATAAAGATATGTCATGTCTCTCTGCGCGTGAAAGGGTCTGTTCTGCGTGTATAAAATATTCTAACCCCCGCCTCCTTATTAAGCGAAAACATAAGCGTTGCTTTTTGCCACTTTTTCATCAACTCAATATATATGATGTATATATCTTATTTCTAAAAACATACATAAATATACAAAAATGTATATTTCCTATGATCAGGAGCGAAGCCCATGGAGGTTGAAAATGCCCTTTATCTTGTTAAGATGACAAGTCATGTAAGGTTGCTATTGCATAGAATACATTTGAATACCCTGTATATCTACAATCGAAGCGATCAGATTTCCACAGCTAACAGTGTGTAAGAAACAATGGTGGGGCCAACAGTGGGGCAGGGGACCCAACGGTGTGCCATTTTTCGAGAATTGGTTTTTTTATTACAACTTATTGTTTTGACTACGGCAGACACCTAATTTAATGTCTTGCCCTCTTACCCATTCCTCGCATCTTTTTTGACACGCGAAACAAATAATAAATTTGATAAATATGAAGTTGTCTTAATTCTATCCGTTATGACTTCATAAATATCAACTCATGCTGGCGATAAAGATGATAGACTTCCTGACGTGAGCTTTTGTTCAATATCATAAAAATCACGTAAACAATTTTATCAATATCAATACGAAAGATCAATAAAAAATACTTGTTATGTGTATAGACTCAAATTTAACAGGTAACACACATGTTTATGGTGTATGAGTTGTTATCTTATATATATCCATTGAACTGTGTAATGTTATGAATTGAGTCGAAGGACAGGCATATTTGTCTTACCTGGAAGTATGGTGTGTCAAAATTCTCGTTTACGTAAACATGTATGGTACTGACAAATAGTAATATGATCAGAATATGTAAACCGTGTTTCTGTTTGTAAAAGACTAATGATTGCGGCTTAAATCACTTAAAGATAGTCTAAGCAAAGTCAACTCTGTAACAGGACACAATAAATTCAGACAGATATTAGTAAACACAAGAATAGTTTAGGTAGGGCGTATGATAATGATGAACACAAGCGTAGTTTAGGTAGGGCGTATGATAATGATGAACACAAGCGTAGTTTAGGTAGGGCGTATGATAATGATGAACACAAGAATAGTTTAGGTAGGGCAAAATATTTATAAACACAAGAATAGCTTAGGTAGGGCAAAAATATTTATAAACACAAGAATAGTTTAGGTAAGGCAAAAATATTGATAAACACAAGAATAGTTTAGGTAGGGCAAAAATATTGATAAACACAAGAATAGTTTAGGTCGGGCAAAAATATTGATAAACACAAGAATAGTTTAGGTAGGGCAAAAATATTTATAAACAGGATAATAGTTTAGGGAGGGCGGAAGATATTGATGAACAGGATAATAGTTTAGACAGGGCGGAAGATATTGATGAGCACGAGAATAGTTTAGACAGGGCGGAAGATATTGATGAGCACGAGAATAGTTTAGGGAGGGCGAAATATATTGATGAACAGTAGAATAGTTTAGGGAGGGCGGAAGATATTGATGAACAGAAAAATAGTTTAGGGATGGCGAAAGATATTGATGAACAGTAGAATAGTTTAGGGAGGGCGGAGGATACTGATGAACAGTAGAATAGTTTAGGGAGGGCGAAAGATATTGATGAACAGAAAAATAGTTTAGGGAGGGCGAATGATATTGATGAACAGTAGAATAGTTTAGGGAGGGTGGAGGATATTGATGAACAGTAGAATAGTTTAGGGAGGGCGAAAGATATTGATGGACAGTAGAATAATTTAGACAGGGCGAACGATATTGATGAACATGATAATAGTTTAGGGAGGGCGGAAGATATTGATGAATAGGATAATAGTTTAGGGAGGGCGAAGGATATTGATGAGCAGGAAATTAGTTTAGGTAGGGCGAAAGATACTGATGGAAAGTAGAATAGATTAGGGAGGGCGGAAGATATTGACGGATAGGATAATAGTTAAGGGAGGGCGAAGGATATTGATGAACAGGTTAATAGTTTAGACAGGGCGGAAAATATTGATGAACAGGAGAATAGTTAAGGGAGGGCGAATGATATTATTGAACAGGATAATGGTTTAGGTAGGGCGGAAGATATTGATGAACAGGAGAATAGTTAAGGGAGTGCGAATGATATTGTTGAACAAGAGAATGGTTTAGGGAAGGCAGAAGATATTGATGAACAGGATAATAGTTAAGGTAGGGCGAAATATATTAAATGAGCACGAGAATACTTTAGGTAGGGCGAAAGATATTGAACAGGAGAATAATTTAGGCAGGGCGTAAGATATCGATGAACAGGAGAATAATTTAATTTAATTTGTACAGTGCCAACACTGAACGTCCATCCGGTCAAGCGTATGAATATACATTTGGTGGTCAAGGTGAGACATCCATCAAAACGTAAGATATAATATGTCAGTCTACTGTATATTGATACCGAAGTGAAAGTGACCGGCGGTCAGTAATGTTCACCTAGGAGACATCTAGATTTAATTATATTAATGATAGATAGGCGAAGGCAACACAGATTGTATACGATGTTGTTGGACTTCAATAAGACCTTCACAAAAATAAGTAAATTTACAAACCTATTAAATTATTGTCAAACATGTGATATTGCCACAAAATCATTATTATCGTCATAACGGCACATTCCTGGATTTTGTTCTGGTTTGATGATTTTATAGATATTTGAGAACATAATTAAATGTGATCAGTTATCTTCCACGCGGATTGGCTTCATATTAAATGTATACCCCACCTGGTAACAGTTGTTTTGATGTCATTATCTGGAGAATGACACCACGTAAAATTAACGACTGGAACATTTTATAGTGCCATCACATTGAAATGTCATTACCAGGACACTGTCACATTATATCAAATACAGGGACGTTTTAATAATATTATCACACTAGCCAAGTTTACCGATCACGAACGAGGACCACGTCTTACACTCTATTTGCAGAGTGATATGTGGGTAAATACTACAATTGTTTGTGTTACTTGTATATGACTTATACAGGTCACGAACTTCCAGCTGATACAACAATGGTTTTGGGACTGAGGGTAGTGAGAGGGCCAGACTGGGGTCTTGGGAACGAAGATGGAGGTGACGGCCATCTTGGAACTGTGGTGAAGGACCACGGCAACAACACTGTTACAGTAGTATGGGACATGGGGACAATGACGACATGTAGTGCTGGAAAAGACGGTAAATGTGACCTTCGGATACTGGATAATGCGCCAACAGGTATGGGATCATCATCATCATCATCATCATCATCATCATCATCATCATCGAAGGAGGAGGGAGAATCATTATCATCATTACTGTGATTCGTTGTTGTCGTCGTCATCATCATCATCATCATCATCATGAGTCGTCGTCGTCGTCGTCAGCATTGTCCTTATGATTTGAATGAACTGTGCTTTAAGAAATATTTTGTCGATGTAACATATGGATCGTATTTCCGTGATCTTTTTTGACACAATTAGGTATTCGTTTCGGATCGGCGACCTGTTCCGAGTGTAAAGTGAATGGTATATTTGGCATGAAGTGGAACTGTATGCAATGTGATGGGCTGTGTCTTTGTAGCGTTTGCTACATTAAGGGTAAACACAACGAGAAGCACGTGTTCCTGAGATACTTCTGTCCTGGATCTGACGGGTAAGGGAAACATTCAAATAGGTTAAATACTCTCATGAAAACAGAAGTGTTTAACATATTGTCAGACCAATATTTACCACAGGATCATTTGTCATTTTCAGAAACACGTGCACACTATTGGCGTCATAAAACATGACGTCACATTATTGTCTCGATAGTCAGAAAACAACTAAAGAGTTGATATTCAGCTAAAAGAAAACCATCAAGGCTGACTGTCATTTTCTTCACGACCACGAATATACTTTCTATATAACCTTATGCAATCAACATACTATTGTTGGTGAAACAAAAGCGATTTTGATATTTGATACAGATTCATGATCACCGACTCAGAAAATGACTTGAGTTTTTTTCTGAAATAGTTGTATTGGTATCTGAAACACTGTTACCATATTCTGCTTTGTTTGAAATAATTACTTATTAACTATTGATAGAGTGAAGGTGCCAAAACGTTTTACTTCCAACAAGCAGCGATCCCTGGGTATTTTCCCCGGAGCCAAGGTTGTCCGAGGAATGGACTGGAGGTGGTCAGATCAAGATGGTAAAAAAAACAAAAGAACAAATCATTTTTGTTGTAGTATGAGAAAGACGATTCCATATTGAAACTTGAATATTTTGAAAAGAAAACACGACGGTTAAAATTCCCAATGGCCAATACATAGGAACTACATCTGGTTTCAAGGTTATAATAAACAAATAGAGTTAAGGAATATCAGCGAAAAATGGCTCCAGACTTAAAAAAAGAAAAAAAATCCACCACTTTTAACGCGTATAAAGAACTTACACTGACGAATCTTCTCCAATGTTATAGTTACCTATTGTCTTCTGTCAAGTTAAATCTATAATGTTTTTCGTCTTTAGTTACAAGTTCATGGAACATCAAGGAGATGAGATTAATTTCAATGTATTGACTTAAGTAATGAGACGTACCTGATTCGAACTCATAGTACAGCTTGTGTTGAGCAGGTGGAGCTGGTAAACCTGGAACAGTGGCGGGACTACGCTCGTATGAGGAGGGGTTAGGAGATCGTAATAGTGTAGCTGTTACGTGGGAGAAGACACAGAAAACTTATAAATATCGTCTCGGTTTTGAAGGCAAGGTGGATTTAAAATGTAAAGTGGATGAAGAGGCCCCGGGATATGATTATTACAAAGAACATCTTCCAGTTCTAGGTTAGTACATGTCCATACAAGTAGTCAATATGACAATGAACCTATCATTAATTATCCATCTCTGTAAATCCGTAACATTATAAAAGTAGCCGTTAACTTTCATTTGTTAGTAGTAACATGGTATCTTTTAAAAGTTGATAACATCGATATAACTCTCTTACTCTCCGACCTTTGCTTCATACAAAACTAAACTGCTGATAATATCTTTTCGAATCTTGTTTTTTGTTTTGATTTTTTTTTATATTTTGTTTGAAAATAACTATAATGATAATCATAATAATTATAATAATCCGATAATTTTACAAAGTAATTACGACCCGATAAACAACATCATTACTTTACTAAAAAGCAGGCGGCGTTGGAACTTTTTCGATCATTTTACTAAATGGCATGGATATCTACCAAATGAAGCAGTATTACATTATGTTCATTATACAATTTAGTTATGTCTAGATTTTCTATCAATTCAGAACTGACTTGAATCATATCCGCTTATAACTCTACACGTTTCGGTATGTACCTTATCGTGAAATGATGACATTTTCAGGAATTAGGTGATCAAGTAGAATGTTGAAGAAGTCAATTGTCCAGTAATACACAAGCTGATCCGGAGACTTTGTCGAACGTTAACAAATTGAAGCATGCCTTTACGAACAAGTATTCGCCTAGTCAATATAGTCTCAGAAACCTTACAACATACTACAGATGAAAAGATGAAGGTTAAAGTAAAGTAAGGATCTTAAAAGGAGAGTTGGACAAAAGGAGGGAATTATACATCTTTGATCATGTGGTAACTGTTATTGTTTATTTCCACAGATGCTGATATTTTAGCGATGTACGCAGAACTGTCCTCTGACGTTTTAAAGGTCAACGACAGTGTGTGTGTGGGCGTGTCCAAGGAAGACTTGAAGGTCTTACAGGAAAATCACGGTGGCTGGACCGTACGAATGGAAGAGGCACGTCTCTCACACCTTATTTACGATCAAAACAGATTCTTTTTAATTCAAACAAAAAATCGATCATATATGTAATGTTTGTATATGAATGCTAATTCTGGTAATTCTGCGTCCATGTAGCGAAAAGCAGTGATGCTCGTTATCATATCGTTATCATATATGTTGGTTCCGTTGTTGTTCTCGTTGATGAACGTGATGAAGCAGAAGACGCTTGCTCTTCCAGAACACCATGTCTTATTCTCCTTGTACTGGTTTTCTGGAATCTCCGAGTAAACGTTTCTTTAGTTCATATTTTGAACCAGTTTAGTAAATCGGGGTTTGGATTATACTTTTGTTGACGTGTATGTACTTTGCTGTATTTAAGTTTTGCTAGCAAATATCTTAAGATTGCTCTATAATGACCGTAGTATGCTATTCAAAACAATTGATATTGTGTGATTTGATGGAGAATTCTAGGATCAAAGTTGAGGAAGGAGAAATGGAGGGGAGGGGGAGGAGATATATTTTATTGACAATGGCATTTCATATAGAATATTTGGGTTGCTAGATCTAACACCTGGTTGTTTCCTTGTTGTTTACCTTGTTCTCGTTTAGGAACAACTGTTATTTTTCTCCCTGAACATTTCTTGGGTCTCCGTGTCAATCTGTATTTTCTCATTTTTGTTCTAGTTCTATCGGAGTCTGAAAGTCTAAATAGGTTTTGTTAGCGATATGGTATTTTCGGCTGGTCGGTCTCTTAAATTTCGTCTCCGTCATCCTTTCTATCGAGAGACAGGGAAACCCGTAACCAAAGTAGATTGAAACTGACCATAAATGCTGACCAGAAAGGCTGACCATAAAGACTGACCACACAAGCTGACTACACAGGGCTCTTGAGGGTCTGGTGGTAGGGCGTTTCGAAATCATGTGAATGTATTTCATAGCATTCCTATATGATGCCAATGTAGCCTGGACAGGAGTATTTAGTTGTTCTTAAGATATGCCATCTTAAGGCGTGTTAAAGGGCATCAATGGACTTTGAATGTTCAGACTTATCTAACCTAGTTAGAATTGTAAACAGTCACAGTGTCTATCCAAAATTCATTAATTAAGATCTCTCTTGATCTTTTCGTCAGTTACCAGGACGAATGGGCAAAATCGATAAATTTACCCGTAGTGGTGACGCTCTTGTGTCCTTTGGGGCGGAAAAATGGATTGTCAATCCAGACACACTGGTCAAGGTAACCGGTCTTAAATTTTGTGTTAAAAATAAATTTTGAGTAAAAAGATATATAAATAAACAAATATAATTGAATCAACAATCTCTTATCGAATTATTATGCCCACCGGTTGTAAAAGCGTTTGCTAATCAAGACTTGGATTAAGTGGTATAGAAATAAATGTAACAAAGACAATTTGATATCTAGTTTCCTTCACACCAAGACGTTAATTCTATGAAAAGATTGCATAGATAATAAATAAATGATGAAATATTGCTGCAGTGTGGTTACACTTGTAGTAATACAATTTGAGGTGTTCCCACGACTATGTTTATAACTTAAAACGATAGTGCAAAATAAAGAACTAAAATACGTCATACAGCTGTTTCGTCCTTCTATATCTCGTCAGTGATGTTACATCATACAGCTGTTTCGTCCTTCTATATCTTGTCAGTGATGCTACATCATACAGCTGTTTCATCTTTCTATATCTCGTCAGCGATGCTACATCATCAGTGATGTTAAGAGCCAAAAGTCCTTCTATATCTCGTCAGTGATGCTACATCATACAGCTGTTTCATCTTTCTATATCTCGTCAGCGATGCTACATCATCAGTGATGTTAAGAGCCAAAAGTTTGAAACCTAGGGGACAATCCAAAGTGATAGATGGAAACGTCAAAATAGAGATGGAAAAGCACTAGTAATTGTTAAATTACGGAAATGACGCACCTACCCATCGAGATCTTGATATTTCTTTCTTGTTTTATGTTCCCCAGTCCTCCCTTAGGTTTTAAAAATGGCTATTCGCATCACTGACGAGATTTGGGAAGACGAAACAGCTGTATGATGCAGTTTAGTCCTTCATTTTGCTGTCTTTAACCCTAAAGCGTAGTCGGGGAAACGCCTCAGATTGTATTACTCGCTGGGTGATGTATATATCACCTCTCACCAGTTCTTTACTTGACGCTCCATCCATTAAAAATTGATATTCACTTGTATGTCATTTGTACAATATTTGATTTGTTTTATGGGGTTGTGTTGTAATAATGTGGTAGTAATGATCCCGCCATACGTTCTAGGTTCATGATGTAGATATCGACGACATCGTGACAGTGGTAGATGACCAGGAGTTCGTAAAGTTAGCTCAGGAGGACCATGGTGGCTGGGTGGACGATATGGCTATCGTATGTACTCCATGTTCAAAATAGTCTCTCTATAGATTCCATCTGTAAAATTAGTGATTTTATACAATATTTATGAAAAATATTTAGAACATATGTAACATACACAGACACACCTACCATAACGAAGGTGTTCTGCAAACACGCCTTACCAAGCGTTACAAAGGAGCTGTTTAATAGTGATGTAGGCGTATCTCACTTGGTAATGTTGGTATAATGCTGTACCAAATTAAGGTAGAGAAAGTCGCGCGACTCTTTCTCTTTAAAAATAAGATTCTCCTCTTTTCATTTTTGTAGTTGCTAGGTAAAGCAGGTAAAGTTGTACGTATTACACCTAAGGAAGACGTGGTGGTTGCTTTCGGAAAGAAGACCTGGGTGTTTAGTCCTGCTTGTCTAACTCCGTCCCCTGATGAGGAAATATTCGAAGTAAATCCTCGCACTGATGGTACATTTCAGAGTAAGTGTAATCACTGTCATAAATGCACTAGGTTGATGTGGAAATGTAGCACAGATTATACTAATATCCTAATCTCACCATTGATGTACATTCAGTATAAGGTACGCGTGTCTGTATTTCAGAGAAAAATCTTTACCATTTTAGTACTCCTTATATTGACAGCATAATAGGAAATAGTTTTTTCGTGGGTCACGACATCACTTAGTATCAATTATTCACGTCACTATTGACAGACAAAAACAGTGGCTTGAAGTAACGCAGTTTGGAGATTATGACCGAAAGTTTGTTAGCATATCTTTTTGTTTCCTTGTTACTGAATTTAGGGTATACATCTTGAATATCGTTTTTTTTTATTTACATTATGGATGTCATCAGTGAAGCAGAAGAAGACTTTTACCTTTTCAGAACGTTTTGTCTCACATGTAAGATTTATGTAAGAAAACAAATACCAACGAAAATACATATCATCGAGAAAAAAATCTGACGAAAATCTGTAACTATTTACCTTTTACCGATGCAGGTGCTGCTGGATATGGCAATGTCCTTGGATTACTGTTGGCACAGATGTTGCTCGATGGAGCCGGTGTACGAGTGGTTGGCCCGGAAGAGTTCATACAGGCAGCCGCTAGAGGCGATGAAGATCTTATCGGCAAAATCTTAAGATCTAAACCTCAGTTGGTATGATGTCATATTGTTCACAAAAGATAATAGGTATAGGAATAAATCAAACTAAAATTGTATTTCTTAAACGTTTGATTTCTTTAGATAAAATATAGAGGTTGGATTTTGATATTGACGTGTCTAAACAATGGTAATGATTGATTGTACAGAGTGATGCGTTATTCTTTAAACAGGAGAATACTAAAATAAACAATCCTCATCCCGCAAGATCACATGAATAAACCTCCGTTGACAATCAGTTAAAAAGTAAAGTAAGTCTGTGGTTTATAATATGGACAAGAGGAAACCTGAGCAAATGATCCATCCATATAAGGAAACATGAGCAAATGATCCTTCAATGTAAAGAGACTTAGGAAAACGGCCAACTCATATATTCACAACTCACAACGGATGTGATATATCGTATGCATTAAATGACTTTTTATAACTTTCTCAAGGTGAATCAAGTGATCAAAGATACAACAGCTCTTGTCTTAGCCAGCCATGAAGGGCATGACGAAGTGGTGAAGACGCTTCTTCGGAACAAAGCGAATACCGAACAAACAGACGCTGGTGGCAATACACCTCTTCTTGCAGCCGTTGTAGGGCAAGTACTTAACATACTCGATATTTTCGAATCACCTTTGAAACAATGGTTTCACTTTCAATGAATTAAGTACTTTTTTCCTGAACGGCGGTTTGATTCGACTATATCTGGAAGAGATACTGCTTCTTGTTAATTTCATAATGTTAATCTTGTCCGGGTAACTCTCCTCTCAGTTTTAACGGATTTAAAAAAAATTAGCTGACTTAATCAGCATGACTGAAGTTCTGTTTTCTTGAAGGGCAGTTTGATAACACTGCATTCAGAAAGTTATTTCCCATGGATGTTTTCATAGTTTTAAACTTATCCAGATATCTCCTCTCTGATTTTCCAACCGATTTTTTCAAAACGTTTCAGGCATAATCTTCATGACATGAATTTGTTTTATCCTAATTCAACTGTATTTGAGAGAGGTATTGCCCTTTTTTTTAAATTTTGAATATTTTTTAACATTTGGCAGGCGTATATTGATAAACCCTGCAATACTATTGTTTGATATTTACCCCTGTCGTACAAAAGTTTCTTTCTTTTAGGTTTCAAATTGTTTTTTTCATTTCACAGCAAAAGATAATTTGCAGAGATGCCAAGTTTAGGACCCTGACTTTATTCCACCATACATCATGGAACCTCACGTAGGAGGTCTCTTTCACTTCTTTAATTAATTCATTTTCATTTCATCCCATCTTCTCTTCTCTCTTCCACCATTCATTCATTAATCACATACAGTAGAAGTAAATAACCAGAGATTTACACACATGCGCACATACATAGTTATAGATTTTAATATCATACGAGGAAAATATGTGTATGTATATATGTATGCGTGTAAAACATTCTACCCACCAATTGAACCCTTAATATGAAATATTTGCACATTTTACATTACAACAGCAGCATCAATATACAAGAAACAAATGCAACATTAAGACAATAAAACACGCAAAAATACCTGTCTGACAACAATTCTATCTGGTCATTTCATTTTATTTACTTCATGCATAAATGTCTATGAACACGCTGGCGTTTGGTAATGAATTAAGGTTACTTCATATTATTTTTATAATTATCATACCAATATGTATACTTGTTCCCATATACATACTATGTAAACATATGTACATTGTACACACATATACACTTACGTATGTATCCCCTCACACATACTTCTCTACTGGCAAAATACTCACATACATACATTACACACGACGTAAGTGCAATTCTTTGAAGTTAAAGGATCGACCTGACCAAAAAGTCAATTGCGTTTCCAGATGGGCCTGTTGAAGCTGTCATCATATTATATAAGTTTTTTATATCAATTTTGTCATACACAAATATATATCTTCCATCTTCAAACACACATGTACAAAATACACATATAACAAGAAACATGATCATATCATTGCACCTTGTTTCATCAGAGACCATCTTAACAAAAAAAAACTCGCATATACAGTGATTATTGATATATATATATACCTGTTTCTATCAAAAATCCCCACTATTATGTCATGTGACTTTCTTCAAAATAATCTAACCTTTTTTCAATCATTATTACACATAGATATGTGTTTTTGTTTTATCTACCAACTGATTTTTTTCAACTGTTAAGGGGAAACAAGTTCTGGTTAATTTTGTCACAATGTCTTTTCCTGTCGCTAAATATTTCCTCAATAACTTGTGTTTGAATTTGAACAAAAGATTGTTTTAAAGCGACAGTTATAGATATAATATTTGCGTACAAGTATCAAATAGTTTCTTATAAGTGGACCCTTTTCACAAAACAAGAAATATCTCGGAAACCAATCTGTTCAACTATTTTTAAATCATTATTGCTTGATATGTTAATCATTTATTCTACCAAACAGGAAGAAGGTCAGTACTACAAAGATACTACTTGACGCCGGGGCGAACATCGACTTTGCGAATCGTCAACATCGTACAGCGCTTCATATCGCGTCGAAAGCTGGGGAGGACTTGTTGGTAAAGCTTCTCATTGTCAGGGAATGTGACGTCAACCCACAGGTGGGTTACATTTCAATAAGATCCATTTGATACCTGATTACCGGGAATTCAATCATTTATATCCACGAATAGAATTGAAAATACCGACACTATGCTCTGTAGACAAATTCCAAATGGGAATTTATATATTACAAGTGGTCTGTTTAACGTTATTGTCGTAATGGTGTTCTTTGTGTGATCGGCAAAATGTTGAATTAGTAACAAAAATAATATATATCTATGGTTGTGGAATTGATTATGTTGGTGCATATCTAACGTTATCTGTGCCTGTCTCAGCACTGAAACCTAGCCACTATTGTAAACGGAACAGAACGAAGCATCTCATAGTTGAGATTTGTTATGATACTTCGATTTTCATCCACAGGACATCGCTGGAAACACTCCAATTCATGACGCCATATATGGAAGTCATGACGATGTTATTGCCTTGCTGTTGGGTCAGACAAAACTAGATTTCTGCAAAAAAAACAGAAGGGGAATGAATGTGCTACACTTGGCTGCCATTAAGAACAATGGGCTGTAAGCTTATAACATATGGTCCCTACTTATTCTATTTATTCTCGGACCCCACCGGCTGTCAAGCCTACCGTTAAACACCACAATCTTTACTTTTTATGAACATATGGAGATATTTGTTGCTTCCTATATAAATATTGTCATTCCTTTCATTGACATATTTGCTCCACAACAATATGACTAGCTCAAAGTATTTTTTTCAATATTTGTTCTCTTGCTATACTTGTTGAAACAGTGCAGTGGATGAAATCGTCGGCAGACATAAGGATCTTGTTGATGTTAAGAAAGAGGATGGCGTTACGGCGCTCCACCTGGCGGCATACAACAATCATACACAAGTAGCTTCTGTCCTTCTCATCAAGGTACTGTAAATGTTGTTAACTCCTGCTCGAGAAAATCCAAAACCACTCTGAATATTAGTCATCCTTGTTGAAATGAAATATTTATGTTTTTTTCATGATATTCATCTGACAATTAGGGTTCAGCGACCATTGATATTCAAACCAATGACGGGGATACACCACTCCATCTGGCGGCAATGCAATGTCATTATCTCATGGTCAAACTCCTTCTTGACAACGGTAGTACTTTTAAAGATACTTTTTATCTAATCTTAAGGAACCGTTGATTAAGCAATCTGACACTTGGTAAATGGTGATGGTAAATATTTTAAATAGTTTACAGTTACACTTCTAGAAATATTGTCTTTCTTATACTCAGTATGTACAAAATATAAAACAAGGACATTATATTAAATCTCCAGTAATTGATTAAAGAAAATCATGTCTGAGGTGTACATATTTCCAATTGATTATTCCGATAATTTCAATATAATTCCTTACTAAGAGATGTTTTATACTGTGTTTGCTCTAGAAGCAAGCACGACCTTGCAGGATAATAAAGGAAACACTCCACTCCATGTCGTCCTCGGAAGTAGTGTGTCACACCAAACGGTGAGTAGAAACGCATCATTTTGGTGAATTACAGATGTAAAAACTTATGATAAAGCCCATTCGGTCATTAGCGGCGTGTATTTGCTCAACAAATCCGCATTAAACAGAAGCACACCCTTGTCATTGGTGGTGTGTATTGCTATGTAAATCTACAGTACGTAGAAGAACACCTTGGTCATTGGTGGTGTGTATTGCTATGTAAATCTACAGTACGTAGAAGCACACCCTTGTCATTGGTGGTGTGTATTGCTATGTAAATCTATAGTACGTAGAAGCACTCCCTTGTCATTGGTGGTGTGTATTGCTATGTAAATCTACAGTACGTAGAAGCACACCCTTGTCATTGGTGGTGTGTATTGCTATTTAAATCTACAGTACGTAGAAACACACCCTAGTCATTGGTGGTGTGTATTGCTATGTAAATCTACAGTACGTAGAAGCACACCCTAGTCATTGGTGGTGTGTATTGCTATGTAAATCTACAGTACGTAGAAGCACACCCTTGTCATTGGTGGTGTGTATTGCTATGTAAATCTACAGTACGTAGAAGCACACCCTTGTCATTGGTGGTGTGTATTGCTATGTAAATCTACAGTACGTAGAAGCACACCCTTGTCATTGGTGGTGTGTATTGCTATGTAAATCTACAGTACGTAGAAGCACACCCTTGTCATTGGTGGTGTGTATTGCTATGTAAATCTACAGTACGTAGAAGCACACCCTTGTCATTGGTGGTGTGTATTCCCCCTATAATTTCCCAGTAAGCAGAAACATACCCTAGTCATTATTGGTGGTATTGCTATGTAAATCTCCATTATGTAGAAACACACCCTTGTCATTGGTGGTGTGTATTGCTACACAAAGCACTGATGAAAAGAAACACGTCCAGGTCAAAGGTGATGTTTGATGTTTATATGATGATAAACCCCTAGTTACCGGAAATGCACGGTGTTTTGAGATACTATAAGTAAAATGACGGTCGAGACATGTAATTGTTCACTTACTTGATGCGGTCCATATGAACATCAAGTTTCATTCATTAAATACAAAAACACTCTTTTCGTGATGCTGATTTATTTGCGTCATAAAATAATTTTAAAAAGTTAGTGCTTGAGGAAACCTTTTAACTGTCTACTACCGACATATTCTCCTGGCCACGTGTTAACAATTTTTAACTAATAACTTAAGAACAAACAATTACTTACACTATCACTTGCAGTTTTTGATAATTAATATGCTTATGTTATTGTGGCATTAGGCAGTGTTTGAGGATGTTTATTACAGCTGCTTCAAGTCCTCATGGTGGGTCCAAGAGGCAGCGATGTGGAAAGGATCAAGATCGGTTGTCTATTGGTACAATTTGGTGCTAAAATTGATGTTAAAAACAAGTCAGGAAAAACCCCTATCGACGTCTGTCAGGACCAGACCGTTCGGAGGGCAATAGTCAAGTGTGCTGAGCAGACGTGAGTAGGTCCAAATCTGGTGCGTTGACACCTCTGACAGCGTTGTCAGTTGCGATGCGTTTTGGGTAAATTGATCATATTCGTTCAAGTTAAATGGAAAGTTGACAATGTTTTGTTTGTTTTCTTGGCACTGTATGTTTAGCGTGGTATATCAACGATACTTTGTTTAGCTTGGATAGCGTTTACAGTGTTGGCCCTTGGAAGGGTATCGGCGTTTAATTGTTCCTTTATACATTTTAGAAAACCGGCAGCAAATGCAAGAAGTCGACCTACGTCTGCTGCCGGAGAGAGAAAAGTTTTCTCACGAATGAAGATGAACTGTGTGGAATGTTCGGACAATCCAGCGCAGATTACGTATGAACCATGTAAACACAAGCTACATTGTTTGCAGTGTACGTTTGAGTTCGACGAATGTCCAGTATGTTATGGGGACATCGAGAAAAGAAAAGACCAAGGTAAGACAGATTATCAAATCATTTTCAAGTGTTTACATTGGAGGATGTTAACCAATCAAAAGTCGACTGGGTCTTTGATACCTAAAGAATTTCATCAGGTCTCTATTCCTTAGAAGAATAAAATGTCGATTCACTGCTTATACTGTATATCGCCAAAGGTTATTTTCGTCCTTCTTCCCCTATACACAAATTCGCCTCGTGTTCAATTCGTCCCTCTAGGGATTATGCAAAAGCGCTATACAGGTTCAACAAATTTTCGCTCCATCTAAAAATCCTGTTGATAGGCGAAAAGGGCGAAAAAAACGGGGGCCAAACTTTTCCTTTATCCCGGTAATATATCGCAGTCGTATATATATATCATTAGATATTGAGACTGGTGACAATGATGATTCAAACCCATATACAAGTTTATCAACATACAATGTTGGTTTATCTAACTTCATCCAGGAACTTTTGCTTCAGTGAGGTCAAAGATATATAAAAGACAAAAAATGCATACCATTATTTCAATACTGGATATAACTGTGGAAAGTAAAGATGAATGATTAATTAAATTGCATCATACAGCGTGAATGTGTATTATATTTAAGAGTGAAAGTATTTAAATTGTTGGTTTCAGATGGTAACGTAATCATTTGTTCGCCGAATCCATGCCGCATGCAGTGAAATTATTCATCCAGCAGAAGTAAACAACCGGCAGATGCATTGATATTTCAGTCAGAGTATGTGATGGTGGAAACATTCATGGGCGTTTTTAACGTTGCTGAAACCCAGTGCATATGGCATACTTGTTGAATTTGAAAAACGCAAACAGCGTAAGACATTTCCATCATGTCACCACCATTTGAAACGGATCAAATCGACTTATTGGTGACATGTGTCGGTAACATTTGCTTTACAGCAGTAGGATATCTCGGGGTGATGAACACGACACAACAAAGAATATTTAAAGGTATTGCCAATCGTATTGTAGAATGTTGGAACAAACTGCGTTATCTTATTTTCCTGGTGATGGAAAACAAATTTTCTTAAATTTTAATGTATTACTCTTGTAAACTTTAAAAGTTAACTTGAGATATTTTCTCTTTTGTTAACATTACACGTAAAGTCAAATAGATGTTTTATATCTTTAACAGTCGAACACTAGAATTGAATATAATGTAGTTCTGTTTTTTACATGAAATAAGAAATAATTTTTTTGGTGGGATCAGTACTCCATGTGATAAAAGACAAGATGTCGAGATATGAATATTAGAGACATTATAATCCTAATCCTCTTATTGCTGCCTTGAATTAAGTTAATTAAAATTTCTAAAATGAGGAAAATAGAATTGGTAGATCCAATAATTCAAGATTTCGGCAAAATTATATTTGTTTCAAATTTATTGATTAACAGAGAAAATATAAACGAATACAACAATCATTTTTACCATATATGATATTAATTGTGATGTTGAATTAGATGAGGAATATTCCATATTAATCTATTTTTATTCAGTGTATTAATTAGATGTATCTCAACTATTACTTCACCTCACAAACATTAATTTCAAGCATAATATTCCGTTGTAAATTTTTATAGGGAAGGTTAACGGTCATCAAATATCTCATTGAAAATGTTCTATTTTCTTCTGTAATGTGGAATTGGGCGTTTCGGATGCTCGGTACTATGCCTGGTTGTTTAAATGTCTACCCATTTAAGAACGTGACTTCAGTTACCTGAATAAACCAAACTTTACATAGCGGGCTTCGTCCATGAAGCTGAATATGCTTAACTCTCCGGCAATTATTCTCTCAGTACTTTTTTGAGAGGTCTTTGTAAATATATTTTATAGTCATATTTTGCCCTACTTTCCTTGACTTTGAATTTAGATTTTGTTAACATAACCGTATGTTCTTTTGTTATATATATATAAGGGTTGATATTTAATACTCTGTTCTCCTGATGAGACATCTATTATGATTTGGATATTGATGTGAAGCTTGTGTGTGTCTGTAACTAACAATAAACGATACCGAACTCACTGTTTTTATTAGGATAAACGTATTCAGTACGCATAGCCTATTGCGACGGCCTTTCAGATAAAATTTACCGATCCTGGCCATCTCATTGGCTGAAATATCGAAAAGAGTTAGAACCCTCTAGCGGCAATTTTCTGCGTAAATAATGCCGCGATTTTTCAAATCGCTATTTTAAAAGCATCCAAAATTAGTTTATTTTTTTAATAACAATACGATTACTATATATTTCAAAAAAGAAGCACAGTGTGGTTGAACTATTGATAAATTTTGAGCAATATATTTTACGGAATTCTCGACATGACGTAAGCATACAGAACACTGTACGTGCGAGTTGGCGCCATGATAAGAAGCTAGTCTAGGGGCTTAGTTTGAATTATCAACTAACAGCACTTATAAACAAACAAAACTTACAAACAGAACATCAATGTTGCTTTAATCCTTGTCGTTGTGGCAAGATCGTCTTAATATATAACATCACTTGACCTCATTAGACGTCACAAAATTGGACTGTTCGTCCTACGCGCACCCCGCCGATACGACACTTTTTCAGGATTTTCACACCCACCGCCATGACACTTTCTTCAAGTTTTTTAAGATAAAAAGTTTGCGCTTCGTAGGCAAGGTACATTTGGTGCTCATGATTTATGAATGACATATTTTTAATACTGTACTGATCATGATGTTGACTTTGTTATAACTTACATTTTTTTGTCTTTTAGTTTTATTTGATGAAGGTTGATTGTGCTGATTTCTCAGTGTTTGTTAATGTGTATCAAAGTTCCTTGAAATGAAAATATTCCTTCACACAAAACGCGTATGAAAAACCCCAAAATATTTATGTTTATTTTTATTAATTAACTAGAACGAAATATATCCGTAACATATTTATTCATTTAGCGTGTCATGGTGACATTATCTAATGCATTGGAGATCAGAAATAGTAGTAGCTAGAGTGAAAATATTGTAAATTTTGTATATATATATATATATGGAAGTCTGGTTTAATCTCATAGAACTATGCCTTTATAAACATAATTACTGGTTATTCTGCTGTGATATTTCAATGTAAACGTTCGGTTTCTGACAACATTGTTTCATCAGTAAAGTAATCACAAACATATTTCAAAAGACTTCCTCCAAATTAGTAATAAGGTAAATAAAATTGTTTTTCTTTTGTCCATCCTAATCAATCAATAGCTGTTATATAGACTGCTTATTATGAAGCAAGTTATATGAACTATTCTCATATTTCGTCAATGTAGTAAAAAGTCTTTGTGAAACAAGTACATTAATAGTCGAACAGAAAAGGATACGCAATATGTTAAATAGCTATTCAAATTTCATCACACAATTGTTCAGTCGTCCTTCTAGGATTCATTTGAAATGTTTGGTGTCTATTGAACTAAGATTTAGAAGGTGAGAAAGGAAAACGAAACTGACCAAAACTGAGTAAACTAAAAGAAGGAGTGTACAGACATCATGATGATTCAATGAGTGTCCTAAATTTTCAATACTGGTAAGCATATTTGGAACCTTTATATAGAATTCAGACTAAACATATAGGGTTTCTATTATCCGAATAAGAAGGAATGAAAAACAATCGATGATTCTATTGGAACACACACAGACACACATGTAAAATATACATGTAATAACAACAAACATTGCAGCATGTTCACTTTAGGGCCATCATTAACAGTCAAGGAAAAACACTCAGTAATTGTTACTACTAACACTGTTTCTACAACAAAAACATCTTTTTTCCTTATATATCAAAGGTATTCCTTTCAGAGAAATAGACCATTTACAATACTATAGTGTTACCTAAGTCTACGATCACAATGAGGATTCTCACGGAAACTCTTTTTTACAGTAAATACTGAGGTTTTATGGGTGTCGTCCAACGCCCATACCTTCCAAGAAAAGAAAATTAAAACTACATGCACTGAAAACCGTGGATTTCTATTCTTGTCGTCTTTGAATCTTCCTTTTTCAGGACGAGTGTTAGCCTACATGTCAGCATGGAAGTGGAGGTGTCTTTCCGATTTATTACAGCAATCACCAAACCCATATCAATATATTTTCTCTCTCCTTCTCTCTTCTTGCTCCCCGATTTTTTACTCATTTGTGTGTTCAAAGAGAAATGTTGCTGTACTGTAATGTCAGTAATCAAATGACGTCACATTGATTTTCAAAATGCTTAAAAGTGATTTCCAACAGTCCATAGACTCATCTGTCTTAGTGTACAGCATTTCCACACCTTTTTGAAACGGAATTTTGTTACTTATTATGTTGTCTTCAGTCTGGTGTGAAAACATGTAGCAAGTATAGTCTGCTTTGCTAGTTATTTGGTTAATTATTGTTGGCAATTTTTATATCGGCAGCATCAATGACATTAACAAGATTTACAATGTGCGCCAACATAAACGATAGGGCTCGCGAAATCACGTAATCTCGTTTCCTAGAAACGGATCCAAGATGGCGGTTCTCCTCAGCAACTGCCTACTGGAAACATCAATTCATCACAATACAAATGACTGAAAAACAAAATATACGCAATTTGATTAACGACCCAAATTATAGTTTTCGTTTTCTTGTGCAACAACACAAATTTAGTATTGAAACTAATAATAATGATAGATATATAGGCAGTAAATAGATTTGATTTTTGTGTTTTACATCAGTCAATATCACAATTCAACAACAATGATCAGGACTGTCTGACCTCTCGATGAATAATAAACCGAAGGGATTACAGTTAAAGTCCGCTGGAAAAAGTCATGCTGCCATACTTACTGCCATACTTACAAAGCTTATTGCTGTAGAGTGATGAGATTTTCTACATTTTTTTAGAACTTATTAAGGAACAATACTTCATTCACAAGCATGTTCTCAGAGGTCTGAACTTCAAAATACTAAATATTGCAATGTGTGCCAAGAATGGCTATACACTTTCAAATCTACTTTATATAAATAGTACAAATTGTAACAAATGCGCTTTTGATTTTACGCAAATACCACAACATATCACTGAACTCTCACCTATAGCTTTTATCTGTTTCAAAAACTATGTAATTGACACTTTGATAATATTTAGTACATGTTTAATTGGATATTTTAGATTTTCTGTTGTTTATCTACCATACATATATTCCCTGCTGAATACAAAAGCTAATTATATAACGGCTTTACGATCAATTTACATCGAGGTAACTTGTCACCAAGTGCATATTAGGCATTCATTTGTAATCCGCCATTGCACGTATCGAAATGTGCAACGAAATCCTAATATATGTCAAGGTAGAACAAGAAGGATATTTATAGCAGATCACAGCATTAGATAAACAATAAGGTGGCATTGATGTCAACATCTTACAAGATATGTACCACACGCGATTGTTGACTCAACGTCGGGATAACAACGCAAAACAGAGTCCGATAAAAAAAAACATTATAACATGATATGATATATGCTGAAGGTTAAGTCTGGTGCTCGGACGGATATGCTTCTAATCGTCTGAAGACGTCAGTGGCATTTCGTTTGTCCAGCTGATAACCTAAGAACATGTTGTGATAAATTGTTGTATTTCTGACACAAATCTTCAAAGCTTATAGCTTATGTAGTGTATATGAGTATGCAGAAA